ACCGCTGAACTGCAGATAACCGTCAGCTGAAGTGGCCTGCAGTACTGCACCCTAACCACTGCGCCACCTCGGCTCAAGTGTTTGCTTGCAGATGTTTCATTAACCTAATAGTTAACATCCTCAGTTTTAGTGAGTGTAAAATTTACTCCCTATTTATCTGCCTACCAGTTGGTGGAGGTGTGGTTTTCTCCTTAGTAGTTCTTTGATCAGGCTTTCTGCTTGGTTACTTTTCTGATATTAATCTGTGCTTGTCTGGCTGTTAGTTACTATAGAATATATTTTCTGATTTTTGTTTCATTCTTAGTTTATTGTCTCTTTTTAATGGTGTTCTATAGTTGACTTTGTCCATGTGTTGTAAGTTTAAATTTTGATCATGTCACCTGACTATTTGTTGTTCATTGATGATCTGCTGGTCTTCAGTCTGTATGTCCTACATAGTGGCAGTGGTTCACCGAATGCGCGCTCGACAAAAGCGCGACCGACAAAACCGTGGCGAGAAAACCGTGAGTTCTAAATCGCGCCGACGAATGAGCGCAGAAGCGCGCCGACAACAGCGCGCCGACAAAAGCGCACCTTCAACAAACAAGTAAAACCACGAGTTCTAACCCTAACCCTAAACCTAAACCTAACCCTTACCTTAACTGAAATCCCTAAACCTAACCCTGAACGTAACCCTTACCCTAACTGAAATTGCGCTTTTGTGGGCGCGGTTTTGTTGGCGCGTTGTGGGCGCATTTATGACGTCGTGGTTTTCTCACCGCGGTTTCGTCAGCACGCATTTGTCGTGCGCGCATTTGTCGGGTCACGAGTGGCAGTTACAGTTCTTACTCTGTTGTAGATGACCCCTCCCTTCTCCGTGTCCTTTGTGCTTCTCCTCCCTATCCTCCCTATCTTTTACTTGTACTTTTAAATTTATTGTTATATCATTTTAATGTCTACTGGCTTTAACATTTGTACCTTGTTGAGAGTCGGGATGAGCCCACCCTTTGCTCCAGCTCATGCCTTATTGGGGATATGAAAGAAGCCCCCAATTGGGCTTCCTCCAGACAACGATGATGTCACCGGATAATCCTTTCAATCTGGAAGTGCCTTGGTGCTTCCAACATGAAGTTGATATGACCTCCCCAGATGAGATGGGTGGCACATAAATCAAATAATTTTGTTCAAATCCAACCAACCAAGGTGTGTGTGTGTTTGTTTGTGTGTGTAAAATATATTAATTTTTATATATCATGTAACTTGGAAAATAGAAATTGTTTATGTTATTTTTATAAAGTGAAAATAGAATGAGATTTTGCTTCTATATAGGGCCTCTAGGTGTTGCTGTAATACAAACAATAAAATACAGACTATAGAATCTCGTGTTCATTTTTTAAGTATTGAATTGTATAGATTATTTTGTTTGTGTTTTGCAGTTCAAACAGTGTGAAAACTTGCAAATATATCCAGAATCTCTTACAGCTACAATGCAAAAGCAGATATTTAATATAGATGACAATTGTCAAACTGGAAAAAATGTGCCACAGATGTACAAAGAACGTGAGAAAGTAAGTATTTTTTCCATTTTTTACGATACTCCAGGTAACCACAAATACGAATCTAAGTTTGTTTTACATTTTTAAATTTCTCAATTTTAATTTGTAGCTAAGCTAGTACTGTTATAGTAACAGACTAGTGTTTTCTCAGGCTGTTTGTTTCTGACTTTAACAGAATTATAGGTACATTATAATCTAATTTGGAATTTCAAAACCAATGCAGGATTTTTCAAATTGGTTGCAGTCCCTGGGCTGTTGTAAGCACTTCAATCTTCTCTTCTCTTCTCTTCTCTTCTCTTCTCTTCTCTTCTCTTCTCTTCTCTT